TAGCTTGGCGTCAGCTCCCCGTTGTATGCAAGTGAGACTGGGCAAGTGGCACATTAGGATCGCTCCTACGCACTCACAGAAAGACACAAACAACTGGCAGACACTTCGACGGCATGCACTGGCACTGGCACACTCGAAATCCTTTCATCAGGCGGCAATGGCAAAAGAAGTAGAGGTGCGTGCAAGTCTAGTGCGTTTGATGTGACTGCTGCTGCTGCAGCACTTCTGCCGAATGGAGCAGCCAATTGTCTCCTTTGCTGGCCCTGGACACCACCACCACCACCACCATCGCTGGCGCCAATTGGCAAATCACTCGCGCCCAAAAGACGCCACCGAACAGTTCGAATGCATTTAGTCGTCTCTCTGCTAGCCATGCTTTTGCAGATGAAGTGTTTCCTTTTTGATGTTTGTTCCCCTACACACACACACCAACACTTTGAGTCGCCCAACTTCTCTGCAGCACTGGTTGCCACCGCCACCGCCGTCTGTCAGCCAAGACGGCCACTGGCGATGGCCACAATTGCCGCACATTTATCTAACCACACATGTTTTCGTTTAAAGCAATATATTTATTCCTTTTTCTTCTTTTTTCTTCCCCCTTCCCCTTTCAACTCTTAGACGTCTGGCTTTTCTTTATACTCAAGTAATCTTTGGCCGAGCAGACGTTTGATGCACTACAACTTCAATCATGGCAATTGGCTTGCCTTGACGTCGACAGGCGTCAGGCAAGCAAAATCAACGATGTTCCAAAGGATGTCAACACCGACACCGTCAACAACAACAACAACAACAACAACAACAACATCAGCCAAAATAAGAACAACAACAACAAGCCAATCAAGTGCACCTCATCGACCAAAGGGAGAGCGAATTAGTCTTCAACATGTGATATACGAACAAGTGGACCGGAGACGCACAGTCAGCGCTTCTGATGGCGGTGGTAGTGGTGGTGGTGTTGGCCATGCGGCGGACAAGTTGCCAATCACTCAGGAAAAACATCTATTGGACGGCAAATCTAGATCAGGTTATTTGATCGCGAGCAGACCACCACCACCACCACCACCGTCGTCGGAGCAGCAGCCGCAGCGCTTGGCGTTTCCTCCTCAGCTGGCCACCGAAAACGGCGGCAGTCATCGCTTACGATGGCACTTCTGGCCACGGAGAGCCACCGGCAGCAGCTGGAATGGCCGGCAAGAAGTGGAAGCACATTCCCCGCCACCAGCCTACCATTCCCCAGCAGCAGCACCTTCATCCAGTGCGACGGAAGTGTTCCCCAGCACCGCCAGTACCGGCAGCAGCAGCAGCACCCCAACTAGTCGTAATAGTCACAGAGCAAAGCGAAACCTGCCAAACCTTCCGCTGGGCATGTCCTTTCAGGAGGTTCAAATAATATCACAGAGACGCCACAAGGCCCAGCGGTGGATGGCGCTGAACAGTCAGGGCCTCTTGACTCTCCAACCCGACGATTCCAATGATAGTAAGTTCAACTGGTAGTAGTGAACCCCTAACGTGTGTGGCTCCTGCACAACCACTTGTTGCTGTTGTTTGTCTGACTGACTGTGTGTGGCACTCAAATTAATTGGTAGAAATTAATAATAAGTCAATAGGTTTTAAAGTTTGCAAACAGATGCAAGACAGAGGCAGGCAGCAGAGTCACTGGTTGTAGAGCAAATATTTTACCTGTTTGCGTGTGTTTGCCTACCTCAAGTGCTCGCAGTCTGTTCACGCCATGCTCTTTAATGTTATCCCGGCTTCTTAGTTGTTGAGCTTTCAAGTGATTAAGAAGACACACACACATACACAAACGCAGACATTCACATCGAGTCATAGAGTGTGGCAAAGTAACAGTGGTGAAGCGGTGAAGTGGTCGCGCGCGCCCGTTCTGCCTCGACTCCTCGTGTGTGTGTGTGTTTGTGCTGCGTGTGGGCGAACGATTCGAATGAGATGAGATTAAACCAGATTTAGTAAAGACCCACTGCAAAGCCGTCACTTGGCTGCTCACTTTTGCTTCTTCTTCTTCTTCTTCGTCTTTATTTTGCGGACGCACCACTTCCCTCTGCGCAGCGACCTCCGTCGCGACCAACTTCTACTTCTCTTTTTTATTTGCATTGCCACAGCCAGCAAATTCCACAGGCAGTAGTAGTTTTGTGCGATTCATGTCTGCGACAGCGGCAGCAGCAGCAGCAGCAACACTGGCTATGCAAATAAACGTTCCTTTGCTTTGCCTCGCACTTGCCGTTCTCTTCAAACGGCGTGCTGCAACTTTTTTTGTCTACCCATTTGACTAACCACCTTTTTTATCTTTTTGTGTAGCTCAATTTTTGCTTGCCAAAAACGACGACGATTTCACCACAGCAATCTATTCACCCAAACACAAGAAGTTCATTTGCTTCAGTAACGCAACTGGCGACGTTATTGCCCAGGTAAGTCATCGAGTCACAACTGAGCAATTCACAGAGCAATCAGTGCTGCCTGTCAGCGTTGCCCGTACATATTGAGCTGTCATGCAAGGGTACAAAATATAGATACACAGACTAGGGGAGAAAGAGTGAGAGAGTGAGACTCACTTCCGGCATGAACAGTAGCACTGGTGGTGTAGGGTTGGCAGGTACGCTTCTAGGACTTTTCACCTCTGGGCAACCTCCACTGCTCAACGGAATGCTTTTGCCAGTGTGAGGCGCATATCAGTGTGTGAGGCCACCAAATACGGACCCACTTGTTAGCCAAACACCAAGTTGCGAAGTTGGAGTGAGAGCAAGAGAGGGAGAAAGGAAGAGAAAGGGAGAGAGGAAGAGAGTGAGAGAGGAGTGAGGAAAAGAACAGTGAATTGAACTGCACAATTACGATGCCCAGACCATCTGAAGCCAGGCAGTGTTTGTTTACTGCCACAAGATTGAGTTATTTGCCTGCTTACTGCCCGTCCTAATACTAGGCATATAATCAGCAATTCCTTTCACCAGTGCACCATCCACTTGCCTGCCACCACAACCGTAGACGTATAATTTTCAATTAAGCAGTGCGCACGCAGAATGTGAATGGGCACATTCAATTATTGACAGGTCCACCTTATCTAAAGGGCCCATTCTTTGTGGCAGCCGCACGAACATGGCCACAGCTATGAGCCAGCACCCTGCACTTATCAGATTTACCCTCTGTGGGAGAGTGAGTGAGATGACAATTCAGCAATTGGACAAATATCCTGTTCGATGGTGCACGCAACAGCAGCACTTCAACTGCAGCGCACACACTTTGTCTATCTAAATGACCAATTACTGAGCACATTGCCGGCACCTGAAGACACTCACACAGTAACACTGTTTCGATGACTGTTGGCGGCTCACTACTAATGACCACCATTGCTGGCACCAATCATGTGATCGATGCATCGTACTCAATGCACTTTTACACAGACACACACACTCAAACTCACACACTTACAAGCACACTTACTCATACTTGCTTTCTTCTTCTCTTGCAGGACTGCTTTGAACGTTCAATGTGTGGTTTCAACCATTCGGCAATCAACAACGTAAGGCATGTTTTCTTTTCAGTATGCCAGGGAAAGGAATGCGTTCCTGGTCGAACGGAGAAGCTCATCTTGGGTTTTAAAAAGAATGGTTTAGCGCACAATATGAAAAAGTACAAAGCTGACAAGAAGCGAAAGACAGTGGACGGAATTGAGCACCTAGGTAGCTTTCAGTTTCTCGTCGTCGACCGCTCCCCTGAGGATGAGAGTGAGCTGCACCGAAAGTATTCAGATCTGCTACAAACCAAATCGTGTGCCAATATCTGGTTAGACCAGGGAGAGAGGATTTTCAAGAATGAAATCAATCACGATCCCGACCTGGAGTGCATTCTTAAGCGAGGCCATGCCGCTGACCACAAGTCACTGGCCAGCAGCAATTGCACCAAAGAGAAACGGGCGTCCAATGCGAGGACAGAGGACCTGGCGCTGGTCTCTGCCGACCTGAGCAACACCACGACCATGCCCACTCCAGGCACGACCATGCCCAGCGCCCTTCTTCACCAGCGACCTTACCACCGACGCACCGACGCCCCCTGTGTTCGATGGACCAAAGTGGCGAACCGCAGCAGAAAGGTGCGACACCACCGGAAGAAGAGTCGGTCTCTCTGCTGACGGACCACCACCACCACCACACAACAATCACAACACATTGCTGATGATCGTCTTCGCCTGCCACCACAACCAATAGCTACTATTACTTAATTTGATTGGCAGTGCAGGGCAACCACAGCAAGCTCACTACCTCAGCTGAACTTTGAATCAACTACACACACTAGTGTCTATCACTTGGCACATCATCTATCAAATAGATGCTATACCTTTACTATTTATTTATTTTTTCTCTGTGCACTCTTCCGTTGCACTGAAATTTTATCCCATTCGTCTGTGCACACCCACAAACCCTCCACGTCATCTCACCTGTACCTATCACCACTGCCATGTCACCTGCACCATTCGCACCAACACTTACTATCACTCCCATCTTCTCTATTTATTGTAAACTGTACATTCCCTCTGTTCTAGTAGTACCAAACGAACACCACCACCACCACCCCACCCGCACACACCTCTGCGCACAAGCACCCTCTGTATGTGACGAGTACACTAGTGCTATTTGTGTGCTCCACTTGTAACTCCGTTCAGCGTCAGCCCATTCATTCCCTGTGAGTCCGAGGAGGTCATTAAAGTCAACGTGTCATATAGTCCGAACTATATCACATGATTGTCTTTGCTTTGGCACCATCGCCTCACAAAAGCGCACACATTTCCCCTCATTGTAATTACGCACAACTCTCTCCCACTCTCAAAAGGCCATTTCTATGAATCAGTATTGCATTATCAATTTTAACATATTTTTTCCCTTCAAATCCTTTTATGCCATAATTAATAAAGAATATGTTTTTATTATCACTTTGAATTGAATTGAACATGATCGGAGTGGAGGAAATTTTTTCTAGCCAAAAGCTAACTCTGATTAACCTTTCAAAAAGTCGCGTGCAATAATAAGCTGCATGATTTCATTGGTACCCTCGAGAATTCGGTGAACACGGCAGTCGCGAAGTAGTTGCTGTATGCCAAAGTCCTTAAGGTAGCCATAACCGCCTAGCATCTGCAAGCAGCCGTCCACAATGGTGAAGGCCTTCTCCGTGGCCATCAGCTTGCCGGCAGCAGACATGGAAGGCAGTGGGATGTGGCGGTTGTCAATGTCAGTCTCCTCCGACTTGCCGCTATCTTCGTCCATTCGCCGGGCTGCAGCGCGCACCAGCAGGCGTGAGGCGAGCAGCTCGGTGGCGTAGTTGGACAGCTTAAACTGCGTGTTCTGAAAGTCGATCAGTGCTCGGTTGAACTGCTTCCGATCGGAGCAGTACTGAACGGCCTCCTCCAGGGCCCACTGGGCAGCACCGAGGGAGCAGGAGGAGATGCTCAGTCGACCGCCGTTCAGGCCGTCCATTGCATAGTTGAATCCCTTGCCCTCTTCGCCCAGCAAGTTGGCCACGGGCACCTTGCAGTCCTCCATGATCACAGCACGAGTTGGCTGGCTGCTCCAGCCGAGCTTCTTTTCCTTCTTTCCGAAGCTTAACCCTTTGGTGCCCTTTTCAATTAGAATACAGGAGATTCCCTTGGCACCGGGACCACCTGTTCGGCACATCACAAAGTAGACTTCGCTTTCGCCACCACCGCTGATGAAGCACTTACTGCCGTTTACTGCAACCAAAAATCAAGGTTAGTTTCATTACTCATAGGAAAAGAACATAATTCTGCTTACAAACATAGTATCCATCTTTCTTGGTGGCAGATGTGAGAAGATTGGCAGCATCAGAACCTGAAAACATAAGTCAAGTTTGAGTACATTTTTTTGGTGCTTCAATCACCAACCAAACACTTACCAGCACTTGGTTCAGTGAGACAGTAAGAGGCCATCTTCTCGAAGCTGGCCAATGATGGCAGAAATCGTGATTTCAGCTCTTCCCCACCAAACTTGTCGAGCATGGTGACGGCCATATTGTGGATGCTGAGAAGGGCCGTAGTGGACACACATCCCTGGGAGAGTGCTTCGATGATGAGGCTGGTTTCAAGGCGGGACAGGTCAGAGCCGCCAAAATCTGATGACGCCGTCAGTGCTCCAAAGCCCAACTGGGCCGCCTTGCACAGCTGATCGCGCGGACAGTGTTCATTCTCGTCCCATTCCTTCATGTACGGCCGAAACTCCTTCAGCGCAAACTGATATGCCGTTGTTTGGATTTGCTTCTCACTGCTGTTCAGACCAATTGAAGGATCGATGATTGTGTTGTCACAAAGTGATCGTCTGCTCTGTACACTCGATGAAGCAGAGCTGGTCAGTCTAGTACACAGCCGTCCAAGATGTCGCGAAACGAGAGCCATTTGTGTAAGGTGTCACAAACAATCACTGGTAGCACTTTCTGCAGGCGATCACAAGTTGAGTGGCAATAAACGAGTAGCCGTTGTAGCGTCCTTTAGGAAATACCACGCGCTGAAGTACTTGAAGGTCAGCAGTTGAAGCAGCTGCAGAACATGGTGAGACAAGACGACGATATCCATGGTTTATATACAGATGATGCGGTGAGCAAATGATATAATTTCTCGCTCGTCAACAAGTTGATCACACTCACACAGTTGATCAGTTCATGTGAAGTTCACATTGTGGACAGCTAACAGTACTTCTTACCTTTGCTCGATTGTTGAAGCTTCCTGTGCCTGGCAACAAGTGAGCGGCTGATGGCGAGAAACAAATCTTAAATAAGTAAACAACAATGCCATTCGCCTCGAAAAAATCCTAGCTGATTTATCAGAGCTAGAGTTCATTTCGGACTAGGGCAACGATGGCAATAGTAGTAGTGCGATTTGATAAGAGTGTGTTTCCAGTACGTTTGTTGTAATTATACTGTATATTGTTTAGAGATTAAAAAAACTTATCAATTTTATGGAGAAAAACAACTTTCGTGCAAAGTGAAAATTTGGCTGCCAGAGCGCATGCGCCGCCAATTTTTTTTGCCGGTGTGCGATTTGTTTTTCTATTTTCTGTTTATCTTTTCTGCTTCGATTCCTTCTTCTTCTTCTTCTCATTCTACCTGTTAATTCAACTTCTCTGACAAAGATATCCATCCAGTACCGTGCTCTTGCTTTTCACCTGTAAAATATGAGCTCGAACATTCCGGTGCCCAGCGGAAAAAAGCCTGAAACCGCTGGTGGGTTCAGGTCAAGGATTCAACCGCCAAGTACTTTGAAAAAACCACTTTTCCAGTTTCGAAATTCTGCCCTTTCAACCGCTAAAATAACCCGCCACCCCTCTGCCTTGAAACGCCCTGCTGACTCGGCTGCTTCCTTTCAACACCCATTCAAACGCACCACTCCTCTGTCTCTGATGCGAAGTAGCAGCTCAGTAAACCGACCTATTGTCCAACCAACAACTCAATCAGCTATCGCGCGTCTGGAATTTAATGATCATCAAAATGAACTTTCTGCGATCTTCAATTCGAACTCAGGCGCAACTTCTATTTCAAACTTTTCATCAAGTGTCCAGAAGGAAAGCCGTGCTACCAGTCCAATTGTAAACTGGCAGCTGCAGGACACTCAACTGAGCGCATTCAAAAGCAAAATCTCCATACTTGAAAAGCAGCTCAATGAGATGATTGCAAAGAACTCTCGCAGCAAAATTGAAAACGAGATAAAAGAAACAAAAATAAAGAGTGAGTTAGAAGCAAGTCAGCGAATGGTCAGTGATTTGAAGAAGGAACTAGCCGCTTCAAGTGAACAGCGTGAAAAGATCAAAGCCGAACTTGAGCAGTTCCAGAATGAGCATCTGAAGCAATCGGAAGCCTTTGATACGACCCAACTGGAGTACGAAAAAACGATTTCTGAGCTGAAGAATGAGATCTTGGAGTTAAAGTCTTCAGAAGCAGAGGCCAAAACGGCGCTGGCTTCAGAAACTGTGAAACTGAAATTTCGTGTTGATGAACTTGAAAATTTGCTGGAAAAGTCAAACGCTGAAAAACATGTCTACCTGAGCAGCTTTAATGAGTTATCATCTAAAGACTTTAACGTTGAACGCCTTAAGGAGGACCTGAACTCGGCCAACCAGGAAGTTGCACTTTTGAAGGAACAGGTGGAGTCGCTCCAGGAGAACGCTCGGCTCAATGATATGCTTAAAGGCGAAATTAACCACTACCAACAGGTGCAAGAAGAAAATTCTCATCTTAAGAATAAGCTTAGCATGCTCAGTGATGTTCATACCAAAAATCTTGTTCTGAAAGAGCAAGTGGAAAATCTTAAGGCACAACTAGCAAATCAAAACGAACTTATCCGGCAGAAGAACGTCGATCTTGGAGAGCTGACCTTCAACAAGAAGCGAATCAATGAATGGATTCAAATTGTTGGAGCAGACACTCCAGATATTGTTGTCAGTCAACTGAACGAAATGAAACAGATGCTGGACATGATTCGCATGGAGAACGAATCGCTGAAGGCTGATTTAAAGGACAAAACTTCGAATGAGTCAATGGTGTCAAACTTTTCTAAGGCAAACGAACTGCAAATGAGTCAGCTAAATCAGGAAATTTCCCAACTAAAAGCCAACTTTAAAAGACTTAACCGAAAGTGCTTACTTATTGAAAAGCAGCGTGAATCTTACAAAAATGTCATCGATTCTTATGAAAGCGAAGTGACCATAGATTTTGACAATGTCCAGCGGAAACGCGCTTCGGAATTGGAAGCGGCTTTGAACGAACAAAAGGAACTAATGGCGATTTACGAAAATGATCTAAAAATTGCCAATGAAGTTGCAGCTAAGCTAATGGCTAAGGAGAGAGAAGTCCACGAACTTACTTCTGAGATAGAGCGAATTAAGATGCTGAATCCTCACGTGTGCACCACCAACATCACACTGGATGTTTCAACTTTGCAGACAAGGGAGAAAAACTTTCGCGTGATTCACCTCAAAGAGAATCCCATTTCGGTCAAGATCAACGAATACAATGAAGAGTTTAATCGTCTAAGCGAGGAGAATGCTCGATTAAAGTGTCTGGTTGAGGTGCTCGAGTCCGGCGACGTAGCTGACATGACACGGCAGATCAACGATGGACTTCAAAGTCGCACAGAGGTAGAAAAGTGGAAGAAGAAGTTTGATTCACTAGAAAAGCGTCACAGTGGTTTGAAGGACAGCTTCAAGAAGATTAGCAAGTCTTTTCGGGAGACCTGCCTCTACCTGACCGGCTACCGCATTGACGCCATTGCCAGCAATCGCTACAAACTTACTCACNCTGAAAGACAGCTTCAAGAAGATTAGCAAGTCTTTTCGGGAGACCTGCCTCTACCTGACCGGCTACCGCATTGACGCCATTGCCAGCAATCGCTACAAACTTACTCACGCTTATGATCGAGAGAAGCGTAAGCTCATCTTTGAGGTAAACAAGTCAGAGATCACCCTGCTGGAGGAGAGCTCACAGNCGCTTATGATCGAGAGAAGCGTAAGCTCATCTTTGAGGTAAACAAGTCAGAGATCACCCTGCTGGAGGAGAGCTCACAGCTGGAAAGTCTACGAGACAAAATTCAAACCTACCTGACCGAGGGACAAAGCTACCCTGCCTTTTTGGCCGCATTCTCACTCTACCTATTCAACGAAAGCAGTAGTCTATCTCGCTCAATGTTATGGACTTGATTTTTGCATTCACACACTCTCCCTCTCTCCCTCAAAATGCCATTGTTACTCATGAGTTGTATATATTATACTGAAATTACAATTATATTTAGAATACAAGTACAACAACTGTCTAATAAAAATGCTCTGCTTATTGCTCTGATAATGCTCGTTTTAGAATGCCCACCAGAATGGGGTAGATTGGAGCAAAGGTGGTCTTTTGTGATTTGCGAACTTGCTTCACGTAGGAATCCAGGACATCACTGTGGAGAGGAAGAGAGAGAGA